TCTGTCATGTCAGCCCTCCCATTGTGTTAGCACTGCAGCCCCAACCGCAGTTAAGCATGGTGTGCGAATTGCCCTGATAACGCAGCCTCACCTCTTCCCAATCATTATAAACTTTAGCAAGAGATCAACAGCATTCAAAACTCGGCAGAAAGCACCACTTTAGTTCTTTCCATGTTATTTGGTAGGAGTTGAGTGTGGAGGAGGAGTCTAGCTGCAGTTACGATCAGTTAGTCCTTCCTCCATCAGCATCCCAGACATGGTAGAAAGGTTTGGAGCTGCTGAACATGGCACTGCTCTGGGTGGCAGGCATATGTTTGAGGAACATGAAACGAGTCTTCTAAAGAAAGGACACTTGCAGAAGGAAGGAAGGAAGGAAGGAAGGAAGGAAGGAAGGAAGGAAGGAAGGAAGGAAAGAAGGAAAGAAAGAAAGAAAGAAGGAAAGAAAGAAAGAAAGAAAGAAAGAAAGAAAGAAAGAAAGAAAGAAAGAAAGAAAGAAAGAAAGAAAGAAAGAAAGAAAGAAAGAAAGAAAGAAAGAAAGAAAGAAAGAAAATGCTCTGTGTTCATTTCTAGAGAGAGCTTTTAGTAAGTGCTTAACAGCTCACCAGCCAAAACTGATAATGCTGGCTCCCTAGTGAGCCTGCCCTCTTAGCTTGACTGCTTGCATACTGACTTCTATCAACTTCTTTCATCCTTTCCAAAGCTATGTAAGATTGTAAGATTAAGAAAAGCATGGTCTTTCTTCCCACTCACCAGCTCCCTCACACACATGAAGTAGTATTTTCCACAACAGCAAGGCTGGTAGGAAGAAAACTTGCAACAAGATCATATCGTTACCTGCCCCACCTCTGTGTCGCTGTCATGAACTCCTTTTGGTACCTCATAGAAATATTTGTCAGAAGGAAAAACTTAGGTTTATCAGCATGCTGCAAGAATTTTATCATTAAATATTGGCAGAGATTATTCACTCTTATATTGTCATTAAACAGCTCACACCTAAGTGCAGAAGACCACCTAAGTGAGTATGGTCATACCTTTTTGGGTTAACAGGTCTGTTTGAAAGAAAAAGAACTGGAGCTCGTTCCTGTTTTCCGTAAGAACTATCTGAAGAGCTGCAGGTTAACAGAGACCACTTGACTCGAGGGGACATGCAGATCAGAGCAGAGAGGTTGCCTTTCTTGGCTCTCGTGAGGCTGCAACACACCAGCTGGATAAATAATGCCAGTTATATTAGCGCTTCAGAATCGCATACAAACCCTCTACAGTTACACCTGACTTGTCACTGCTCCACTTAAATACTTGCTTTTGTCTTCACGTTGGGCCTGTAGAGAGCTTGGCATGGGGGTTGGGAACAGTGCTGGACTCACCTAGAAATCAGCAGGTGAGAGTCAGTCATGGGGACAAACTAATAGCAGCTAAATACAAGCAAGGGCTGTGCTTGATCACTGATGCCTGCTTTACTCAGAAACATGGGCTAGGAGTTCTGCAGCTTGCCCTGGGCAACGTCCTTTACTAAACGTCTCATGCGCTGGCACTTGTGCGTGGTAGTTCAGGAAGGGATTCTTTCAAAGGTAAGGAAGACAGCAGATCCTGCTGGAAGATCTTTTGAATTGGACTCATATTCCAAATTTGCAATAAGGCTTTGGGAAAACCTGCCTTTGATGCATTGCTCATTGCTTTTTTGCTGCCCTTGTGAATATATGCACTAGTTTTTCTTTCTTCTGTAGGAACGCCAACAAATCTCACTGCTTTTAGTCAGTGGGTGATAATGGTGCACAGGCCTTGTGCATCCTGTGAGAAGTTTGGTCCCCAGAACTGATACAAAATAGTTGCTTTCTCCTCTCGTAATGAATTCTTAATTCAGTGGAGTTCATAACTGCCATTTCCTTCTTGGTATTCCCAAGTGTAGTTTCATTCTGAGAGAAGACACAAATCGCAATGGATGGGATTCATCTTACCAGCTCTGCTTGTCCAGAGGAGGTTAGCATTAGAACTGTGTCCCTTCAGGCAGCTGTCCAGGCTCCCTCCTTAGTCAGTCGAGGTGTAGGCACTGCTGAAAGGTGTCTCATTTCACCTTTCCTAGCCACCTGCATTATAATGTGAGCCATCTGGAGGCATCTGTCTCTCTCCACTGACTGGACAGGGAGCCTGGACAACTCGTTTGGAGTGAACATCTAAGTTTTAGATTGTTGGAAGTTAGATGTGATGAGTCTCACGAGACTGCTTGTTGCCCAGAGGCATATAGGCAGTGCGAAGACTGTATCAGAAAAAACTTCTGTATATGACATTTACACTTCAAGTGAAATATTTTCCCCATGAAAGACAAAAATGTCTGTCAAAGACAAAATGGATATGGTTAATGCTAGGGAGATCCATGAAAATCTCAGTCCAGAAGAAAATAAAGGCGTAAAACCATAAAGTAGGCTGCCACTTTTCAAACATTTGAAAGTGTGGTAATAAACTGTGTTTTAGACAAAATTTAGGTGGAGATGTATTTGTCCTCTCAACAGCCCATTCCTGTCATCCCACTGAACACAGCCACGCTCTGATCCCGGAGCAAGCTTCAGGCTGTGGGTGGGTGTTGGTGTTGGGCTTCCCTGTGAGAGAAGTGGTGGTGCGGAGGCGAGCGGCCGCTCTCCAGGTGCCTAGCTAAGAGCACCAGCGTGCTGCTGGTCGGTGCTGCTGCGAGCAGCACAGCCCGCCTGGGCTCCCTTCTTCCTGCCTGCCCCCCCTTCTTCCTGCCTGCCCCAGTAATCCACCGTCGTTCCTGCATGGGAAACACGCTGGAGGTCAGAGCTCAAGGGTTCGGCAGTTTTGTCAGGACTGAAAGATGCCTGGAGAGGAGCCTGCCGTTGTGTGCTTTGCTCCCTGGGCTCCTGGTGTAACCTCTGGTTTGGGAAACACAAAGGGGATGTTCCCAACACGCTGCAGGGATTGCGTCCGCTCCTCATGCATGTCTGTGTCAGACCCCAAATCTGTCTCACTTTCTGTGTTAGGGCACAGTTCCCACCTGCTCTTCTACCAACCAAATAAATCATTCGCTTTGTGTGCTCCAGTGAGAGGCTTGGGATTTGAACCCTTTCCTGTATCTCTCCTTGATGTACCAGGTCACTGCTGCCATTTGGTTAAATACAGATTAGCAGGTCTCTGGTACTGGGTGGCCGAGGAGAGATTTTCTTCTCTCCTGGGGCAAAGACCCAAACCTCATAGAGCTCTTGAAGAAAAATCTTAAAAGTGCTTTATGGATTTTCTTTGCTTTCCCTCTGTTTTTTCAAGCAAAATGACAGATGTGGGACAATGGGACTGAATGGGGTCTTAGGTCTGTCTGTTGTATTTTTTTCCTCCATGTCGTGAGGAGGGATTGGTCTAGTTTTGGCACATGATTTTAGAAAAGCGTGTGTGCCCGAGAGCCATGGCCAGGCCATGGGGCCTTTTCTTGCTGGAGCTAGATGAGACTGAACCTAAAATCTTTTCTGTCTTCTTAGCAGTCTCTACTGCCTTGTTGGTTTTTTTCTACTCAGCTTTTTGCTTTCCATGAAGGAAAGCCTCTGTAACGGGATCTTCTGGTTCCCACTTTTCCTCACCTGCCTCGGTGCACTGCTTGGGGAGGGGTCATGTGTGGGTGTCAAGGCCAAGGACTTTCCATGTGGCGCCTAGATGCCAGTTGATGCTCAGCTGAATGTCACTTTGCCTCTGTGCTTTTCTGAATGTAGCTACCCTGGCCTGGATTGATCCCATTTCTCCAGAAGCACTGATGCCAGGGTCTCATCCACCCTCAGTTTCTTTAGCCCCTGGCACCATGAGAAGATGATTCAGCCCCTCAGCTCTGAAGTGTCTTTTGGAGTTACCCTCTCCTCTTTCTCTCTCGCTCTCCGCTGACTGCAAGAGCTGCTGAGACACACAAGACTCCTGACGTAGGTGCTTCTGTTGTCCAGAAGGTCCCTGGGATGCGGTTCCTACATTGCTGGCTCCAGTGGAAATGGGGTTTCGTCTGTTGCCGTGGCCTCGTGCTGAGCCTTGCTGTGGAGCCGGGCAGCTCTGGCAGAGCTTGCTGCTCCTGCAGTGGTCTGTCCACATGCCCCTTCCTCAGTCTGTCCGGGGTGGCGGACAACCCCTTAAAGGCAGCTTTAAGTGAAACGGAAAGGCAAATCAGTCGTAACCAGAAGTGCATGTTAAGCAGGATCTGTGTCGTGACACCAGGAGATAAGTGAATCTCCCACAACACTCCTAAATCAAAACAAGGACCCTCTCAAAAGCAGCTTTGGGACTGCTGTTATGGTCGGTGACCAAACTTATTTTTCCTTCTTTCTTTTGGCAAAGTATTTGTTAAAAGTTTCTGGTTTGTCAAAGCTGTGTTCATCCTCTGCATCCTTCATTAGTCCTGCTTCCCTGCCAGCCCTGCCAGGATCCCCGTGCCAGGGGTGTCAGGCCCCTCTTAAGTGGCCGAGACACTTTATAGCATATCACAAAAAAAAGTTCTGTCTTCAACCCGAATCAAACCCTTTTCCCTCACTTGGAAGAAAGCTGTTTCTTTCATTTGGAAGACGCTTTGTGTCTCTGTTTCAAGGAGGGGCAGCAGCTGAAGCAAATTAACGAAAAGCCAAGGGTAGGTTACAAAAGCCCCCAGAGCAGACCTCCTTCACACGCACCCTTGGACACCCACCCGTTTCGTCTGCTTGATCCCGTGGAGGACCTGCCAGTACCCCTGGGTCTCACAGCCTGCTGCCTGGCATCATCCCTCCGGCACATCTGGCGCCGATTCCAACCAGACTGTTGTTTCCAGGTCAGTCTCCGCATTTCTGCTGACCACGTTGCCTCCATCATGAGATCATGTCTTTCCAGAGAAATCCCACTAATGCCTTCATTCTGCGAGGCCGGTATATATAGGGGGAGCTTCCCTGGGGCTGCACTGCGCGGTCCAGCCAAGGCATCGCTGTCTCCACACCAGCCGCACTGCCCCCGCCGCTCTCCCCGCGCAGCCACAGGTCGCAGCAGCAGCCAGCATGGACATTACCATCCAGCACCCCTGGTTCAAGCGTGCTCTGGGACCCCTCATTCCAAGCCGTTTGTTTGACCAGTTTTTCGGAGAGGGTCTCCTCGAGTATGATCTCCTGCCTTTGTTCTCTTCCACAATCAGCCCCTACTACAGGCAGTCCCTCTTCCGCAGCGTGCTGGAGTCAGGCATTTCAGAGGTAAGGGCTCTTTGGCTTCCTCTCCTTTCCCTTCCTCTCCCTCCTTACGCCTCTGCCTGCTCCTCCCCACCCGTGGCTGGCAGGCGGGGGCCGGTGTCTGTAGCCCCATGTCGGGGTGCGAGAGGGTGAGGAGGACCTCTGGCCCACCACCAAGCACAGCCCGCCTGGCCCTCACTTGGAGGGAAACCCTCGCTGGGGAGAAGGCTTCCCTTTGAGAAACGGAAACCATTTTGGCTCCTGTCGATTGTTTCCAACACGTAAAAGGCTGCCTTTGCTGCCCTTGTGCCCGCCAGCTGCGTGGCGAGGGAAGACCAAGGCTGCTCCCAGAGTAAGCGCCTGCGAGAGCAGCTCGGCATGGGAGAGGACCCTGGTGAGCAGGAGCTTCCCCATTCCCGTCCTCTGCCTCAGGAGCTCAGTGGGTTTTGCAAGCCCGCGCTGGAGGACCCAGGAGGAGTTCTCTGAAGGCAGCGTGTCGGAGGAGCACATAGCCGCGGGGACTCTGATCCGAAGTTTGGGGACCGGTGCTTTCTCTAGCCCTCTCTTACTGGTTTCCTCCCAGAGCTAAGACCATAAAGAAACAATAAATTGATGAAGGGACAAAACGCAGAGAATATTAAACTCCATCCCCTCTCGCTGCTGAGCACAAAAACTCAGTGCATCTGGCAGATGGCTGGGCGCAGAGGAGTCCCCGGCACAAGGATAGCAGGGAGAAGTGATGCCGCTCTCCAGAGCAGCAGCCATGGGGCGGACGCCTACCGCAGCCCCCCCGGCATCCCTGGGTCCCCACAGTGGGAAGGAAGACCCCCACTGGGGACCGTAGTCACAGATGGGGAAACTGTGCCGCCGCCAGACCACCCCTTCTCTGGCTTTTAAGCTGCCGCGATGCTGGCACTGCCTCCGCTCTGAGAGCTTGGGTCTTACTGTCTAATGATGTTTGTTACAGGTGAGATCTGACCGGGACAAGTTTACAATCATGCTGGATGTAAAACACTTCTCTCCCGAAGACCTGACTGTGAAGGTTATTGATGACTTTGTGGAAATCCATGGCAAGCACAGTGAAAGACAGGTAAGTGGAAGTGACAGTGATGGTGGAGCAACTGGGGTGTCAAACTCCATTTTCTTTCATTCCAACAGTCCTCAGCTGAAGGGGAAAAAAAAAAGAGTATTTCACAAGAAGGAGTTATTTATCAATTGTTATTGTTGGCGTGGCCCGTTCCCATAGAGCTCCAACCTGATATCTGACAATAACAAGCTAATCCACTCCTCTTTTGTTTATTTTCAATCATCATCTTCCATGACCATCAGATGACGATGTCCATTGTTCACTAGTAACACTGGACCAGACAGAGAACATCATCTGGCGCTGCTGAAGCATGGCTGAGTTTTCACAAGCCAGAATTGTTAATGAAAACAGAGTTTTCATGTGCTGATCTGGGAGAGAAAAGCAAGAGCAAACAAAACAAAAGAAAAATAACCGAGTGCCTCAGGCTAGAAAACTTCTAACACGTATGTCATGGAAATATCTGTGGGGGTCGAAAAGTGAATTATACCAGCAGGGGTTTAATTCTTGTTATATACTTTTTTGGCCAGACAAAGCTTTAGTCTGGAAACAGTATGTATTTTTTAATATAGTTATTTTTTCCAGAGGAAGAAAACAGCCGTTTTCATGGGTGACCTGAAAAAAAAATTGCATTTCTCATTCTTTTGGCCAAAAAGAAAGAGGGCCAGGATTGTGTACTTTGGCTGACACAGTGTTGCTCTCTAGCAAGGAAATACATGGGCGCACAGGCATGCCTTGCTTTTACCTTCGCAGAACGCCGGACTTTCTCTCCAAGCATCCTTTGAAATCGGAGGCCGCGGCAGGGCCCCCATACAAATCAGATCCCAACCTATGATACAGCCAAAATCCCACCCAGCTGCTCTGCTCAGCTCTTGCAGCTCCAGGGGTGTCGTGGCGGGGACACCTGCCCCTACAAACCTGTAAAACAGGGTAAAAAGCGGAGACGTGCCCGGCGATACGGCAAGGAGGGGGCCATGATAAAGAAGGGCGGGGGCG